TTGGATATGTAGTTGATTGCAAGGCCCATTGCGCTCGATGTGCGTTCTTTGGAGGAAAAACTGGCTGGAGAACTTTTTTGGAAGGTCCTGAAGAGGGAAATGAAGTGGAAATGAGAGTTCATGGAAATCAAGTAGATGATACGTCAGATGGGAAGAGGTCTACCAAATTTCGAGGGGGCGGGTGGATGGTTGACACCATTTCACGCATTACGATACTGTATCCTCTATTCAAAGAAAGCGTCTTTACATAAGGTGAAGGCGGAAAGTCTCTTCGATTTTCGATAGCGTCATATCTCTGTCGTCACGGATAAAGCAGATATGATAGAAGTAGTGTTTTACTTTCAATATGTTTCCCCAACATGTCAATAACATATTGTGACAGTAAAATCAACTGGATTGGATAAAAAAATTCTGGAAGCATTCCAGCAATGCTTCTGTGGCTTATCTTCCAGTGTTATCATCTTGCTCTTCTTAGCTCCTGGCACGTACGGCGGATTTTGGGGCGTAAGTAATTTGGAGCGATCGGATTGAATACAAGCTGTACACTCATCTCCAGAACGACTCTTGCGATGTGCGAGGTGATTGGGTCCGTAGCTGCAGTAGCGTGCACATCCTCCTCTCAAAAGTGCCGGGTAAGGTAGTGTAGTGGTGAACAGGTGCGGTCTAAATGTTTCACCCATGAATGCGTGCTACAATATGCAGCGACTGCGTCGATACCAAGACCCAGGAGCAATAAGACAGCGCTCATACTCAGCGACAGCAGCGACGATCGCGGCGATCGCCGCGATCATCGGTACGCATCAGAGCGCGCCGAAACGCTATTACTTGGACCGCTCCGAGTGCTGCTAGGAAAATTGGCTCAATTTTGTGCTTTTTCTTTTCATTGCGATTGTCTCAGGTGTGAAAGCTTATTTCTACCAGAGGAAAGGTGGACCAAACATGATGGCATTTCTTTTCTACTCTCTTTTTTTTTATTTAGGATAGAAATGAGCAACAGCGTGGGGTTTCACTTAGGGTAAGTTTCTTAGAGTATTTTTCATTCTTCGTGCTTACACATGACTTTATAGAGTTTCCTCCTTCTTGATGCTGCATAAAACATTAGTGTTTCGATTCCTAGATTTATTCCATTCTTTTCTTCTTTTTTTCGTTGTTTGAACTCGACTTGTAAACTATAAATGTTTCGGAAGCTGGGAAGCTTAGCCAATAGCAAATTTCAAGTCACTCATATAAAATGAAACAATGAAAACAAAGGAAGCAAAAAGAAACTCACCCATTGAAAGAAGCCGCCCTTATTCCGACCTCAAAAAGGTGAGACCAACTTCCTCATATTCCAGATCCTCTTAAGTGAAAGTTTCTAGTTAATAGCCATTATGGAAAGAAAAAAAGTCTCACGAGAATTTCCTTATTTATCAGAGAGCGGTCCAAGTAATAGCAATGGGGCGCGCTCTGCTGCGTACCGACGATCGCGGCGATCGCCGCTGCTGTCGCGCAATATGAACGCTGCCTAACGTGCTCAGCGATAGAGAACAACCAGAAGGGGGAGAGCGCGGATGGTTAGCGCGTTTGGCTATGGCTAGGCGCCAGGCTGGCTAGCGGCAGCGTGGGCTTGGTATGGAATCGGTATCTGGGCATCACTGCTCTACAGCCCCGCCTCCGTGCACATCTGACAGGAAAAAACAGGGGGGCTCTGCCCCTGGAGCCATTCTACGCACACACTGCAAGGATTCGCGGTAGGTGATTGTACGTTTTGTCTTTGAACGAATCCAAACAGTAGTTGCAAATCACGAACAACAACTCAGCACTTGACCTCAATGCTTCTACTCTCAGAAAACAAAACACTCAAAGTGAGATCATGTGAACGGAGCTACAAACATTTTTTCCAGACTTTGGTCAAAAGTATAAAAGGAACAAAGAATGTGGGAATTGTTCCTAGAATGCCGACTTCTCCGACCGCAAACATATTTGGAAAGAAAAAATAACCTGGTGACTGAATAGAAGCCAGAAGTCCACAAAGCCAAACATAAGTCCTCTATTGCATTTGTATAACTTCCGTGAATTATGCAATAAATGTTCCTTCTTCGTTGGTAATTCAGGTACACGTTCTGAACACACTGCTTTTTTGGAGTGACACGAAGCCTCTCCACGCGATTTGAGGGGCTTCGTATGGCTATGCAAAAGGTCTATCGTTCTCTCCATGTGCATAGACAACAAAGTGTGTCGAAAAAGTCAAAGTGGAAAGAACTGTATGCCTAGTTCTGTCAATATTGCAAAAGTGGGAGCAAAGTGGGATCAACACTTTGCAGGCGAACAGAAGGCTGACGCATACACAAATTTGCAAATCCATGAGCTTACACACGATTTAGTTGTTCATTTCAGTAGAGCGAGTTTACAATAAATCACGTTCAGTGGGTGACGTCGGTGGTGGATACTGTAGTTGTAGGCATCGGTTCTATTCTGGACTAGCGCTTCTGGAAGTTTTGGTTAATCTACAAATCTGACGCACTCTACTACTATTTACATACAAATAGACAACTGATTTTTATATAGAGAGGTCGAAAGAGAAATCTCGCTATCTCAAAGAGACGGCCAAGTGGAAAGTGAGATGCCTCCATGCTTTTGATTTTTCTGAAAACGTAGGATAGAAGCGCAGAAACTCGTGACTTGCCACCTTCAGCCCAATATCAGCTCTTGGACAATACCTCACACCACGAGTTACCGCGTCTCTGTTGTCGACCGTGAGACGACGTCACATGCTCCCTGCCAAAGTTGCTAGCGTGTTGGCTTTTGCTGATTGCGCTCATGCTCGTGAGTCATTGCTCTCTTTTGATACATTTTTTGGAAATACTAGCACACATAAGAAGCAATTCAATTTGCGAACTAGGCTCTGCAAACGTTGAGTTCGTCAATGATCCAACTGCATTGGTGCAATCAATCGGTTCGGGTTACGGTATGGACACTTCCTTACACAAAGCTGCTCTTTCTTTCCTGACACAAACTTATGCTATTTCTTCATTGTTCGTGGTGTTAAATAACAGCATACACCTTACGTTGCGAAGAAACGTTTTAAAGCCGAGATGCTGGCAGGGTCCAGGGCGTGGACTTGCCATGAATTCTGGCAAACTCGTCCGACGCGGCTCTTTATACGGTCTCGATGTTCCGTGCTTTTTTTTCTACTGATGAGTCAGTTATTGTTGGCTACGACTTCTCGTAATTGAACACCTCAACCGCTGCCTTCAATTAACCTTTCCCAATTATCTCTCACTACTTTTTTTGAGTATTTCAGCCAAAAACCGGTAGTGAATCATATTATCACCAGCCGGATCACCCGGCTGCCGCAATGTGCTCCTCCTTCATTTCCATGGCCCGGCTTCGCCGGGCCGACCTGGCTTCGCCAGGCACTCCTCCCTCGGGCGTGGTAGAATGCGCTAAATGTGCCAAACGGTGGCGGTTATTTTTTATTAAATGTAGGAAAATGAGTTGAAAAAGCCGAACATCAGTCATTATCTACCAACATATGGTCCCTCTTGCTTACTACAGACTTTCAACCGTGAGAAGGCTGAGCCATATCATCAAGGATGCAGTTGTGACATCAGAATGGGTAAAGTTGAATTAGTCCGGATGAGTCCTTAACACCCGGAAGAGGCATAACTGCAGGATCTTGGGTGGCACTGAGAAGGAGAACTTCACATTGCCTTGTACATGTCAAAGTACGTGTCGCACGGAGAGCTCGAATGTTACCACCGATAAAACGTCCCCACTCCCAATTGTTGGGTTCCTCTTCCTTATTTTGCTTCAGTTGCGAACTTCACCTCCTAATACATTGCATTGCGCATCATCTAGCACATTTCCGAAAAATTTTTGATTGATGAATTTCTCGATTTTCCCGTTTCAGCCGCACCACGATTACCTGTCACCCGTCGTCAATGTCCTTATCACCAAATCCTTATAATTTGGTAGTGTAAAAGCTGCACCGCCTTGAACAGCGACGACGACTGAACGTCTCTTATCAGCCCCTATCAGTAGTTATCGCTTCTAGTCACCCACCGTTGATGTTCCCATCTCACCCTCTATATCACTTGCTGAAACGAACGCCTCGCTGATGCTGTCACCCGCGTTATGAATATGGTGACCTTCCCTTCTAACGCCCCTTATCGAATCTTATCAACTGATATCACTTCCTGTCACCCACCAATAGTGTTCCCGTCACACCCCCTACATCACTTCTTGAAATCAATGTCTCACTGCTACTGGGACAGGCGCTATGAATTTCGTGACACACAGACAGACGCACACACACAGACATACTTAGCGAATTATATATATTAGGATAGTGGGCTCCAATACTTGGCATTAAAGCGGTAAGAAGTGATAAAAATGTAGCGCAGATGGTATCTTATCCATTCTTATCGAATGATATGATTACCTGTCACCCGTCATCAATGTCCTTATCACTAAATCCTTATAATTTGGTAGTGTAAAAGCTGCACCGCCTTGAACAGCGACGACGACTGAACGTCTCTTATCAGCCCCTATCAGTAGTTATCGCTTCTAGTCACCCATCGCACCCTCTATATCACTTGCTGAAATGAACGCCTCGCTGATGCTGTCACCCGCGTTATGAATATGGTGACCTTCCCTTCTGAAGCCCCTTATCGAATCTTATCAGCAGCTCGCAGTTCTTGTCACCCAAAAATAATGTTCTTGGCCCGTACCTATATCATATCTTAGAATCAAGAGCTAGCTGATGCTGTCACCCGCGTTATGAATATCGCATCTTATCGGATCTTATCAACTGATATCACTTCCTGTCACCCACCAATAGTGTTCCCGTCACACCCCCTACATCACTTCTTGGAACCAATGTCTCACTGCTACTGGGACCGGCGCTATGAATTTCGTGACAAACAGACGGACGCACACACACACACACACAGACATACTTAGCGAATTATATATATATAGTAAAAATTTTTCTAACGAATGTACATTACTCTAAGAAACTATTCTGATATCTTCACACCTGCACTAATGCTATAAAAAAAGTCAGTGAAAAAAGATGACCTTCCAGTTTGAAGAAAGAACTTCCAAAAGTAACGTTCGATGGAGACATAAAATACCTCTTCCATAATGAGCTTCGGAGAAGCTAGACGTATAGATATTCCTTTTTTCTTCAAGCCTTCGATAACTTCATTCCATGGAATCTTTTGACGGGATTTCGATCGGGACAAGGCTCGACCCTAAAATGATGTTTATCCATCAGGATCCTCTTGGGTCAAGGGACCTGTTCAACCTACCGCCCCATGACAAGTTGTACCATACGCTTCAACCATACCGCGTTCAGTTCCTGTGAGGACGTAGCTACAGGTCCCCATACTACCTCCAATAAGCAC